ATTGTCAATGGTCGCAGGCTCAATGTCAAATGGGGAAGGTGAGTGCGGGGGGAGGAAGCCTTGTGGATACCGCCACAAGGTTCTTCACTCAGTTTATGCAGTCTTGATGAGCAGGACTGGATATTAAGCTGGAGTAGATACTGATTTGGTGAATAGTTGGGGTCCTCTTAGAGTTTGGTTGTCTTTCAGCAGTGGGATCTGGGTTGGAGATCACGTAAATCGCACAAATTGCGTAAGGGATTTCCTGGTTGAGGGTCATGGATGAGTTTCTGTAGCTGTTTCTAATCCGTCTCCTGTAAACAGTTTGCACGCTTTGTGCCAGCTGTCTCTGATGTTCTGTGAATTTTTTGTCTTTGGCCTGAAGCAAAGGATCTGGATTAGATAATGCGAAACTATTGTGGTGTGAATATCTGCTTATCCTGCTTTTTCTCATCTTTGTTCTCAAACTTTTGTGTATTTTTTTAGGTCCCAGGCAGCAAGGGGAAAAGAAAAGGACAAGGAAGGTACTACAGAATCCGGGATAAAGCTGGAGCCAGTTCCAGGACTTCCCGGAGGTATGGGAGTTCGTTTTCATCTCTCAAACACTTAATGCTGACCTGCTTCCATGAGAGAGGCTGGTGTTAAACCTCTGAGCGTGGTGACGGTAGAGGCACTGGTGAGCCCAGAGCCCACGCTCACAGTAGGTTTGCAGTGGATCCAACTGGGATGGGAGGGGAGCTTTGTCTAGAAGCAAATGCTTGATGAAAAGAGAGTTCTTTGTGATGCATGAAAAGTTAAAGCTGAATTGAAGTTATTTAGGTCCGAGATACCGGCAACACATGCTTTTCAATGCTTGGTTAATGTTTTCCTAATCCACTGAGTGTTGTGTGATGGAAAAAGCAAAGCTGGTTTCGGGTGAAGAAAAATGGTGACTGTTCTGGACTTGCAGTGCGGTCCTGCTTCTCGCTCCGGTTCAGATGTGCAATAGTAGCAGCAGTTTGCCCTTGTGGAAGAACTGATTGCGCCTCCTCTCTGAAGGCAGATACCGCTGCATAACTTGACTGAGAGATTTTCCATAACCACCGTGTACTTTTTCTGCAGCTCTCCCCCCTCCTCCAGCGGCAGAAGAGGAGGCTTCTGCAAATTACTTCAACCTACCTCCAAGTGGCCCTCCAGCCGTGGTTAACATTGCCTTGCCACCTCCGCCTGGCATTGCTCCGCCACCGCCTCCAGGTACTTGTGTTTCCCCTTCGAGCGGGGGTGTGTAACGTGGTGTTAGACGATCTGGTCCTCCTTCCTCGGCTGGGCTGTCGCACTGATGCATGCCCTGCGTTGGTTTTCCTCATCCCTGATCATACAGTGTAAACCGATGATCTAAAATGAGGTGTCAGCACAGTTTAATTAAACTGAGCTGCCTCTTGTGGTACGTATTCACTTGCAAATTCCCAGGCACGGCAGAGATCCCTGGTACTGAGACCTACTCAGTGCTTTTGCTGGCTGTGTAAATGCCACGTTAACCTGAACTTGAAAGGGTAATTCTGCAGCTGGTTGAACACCAGCCTGGGTTTGGCTGTGTGTATATATCTATCTGGAGACCCTCTTTTTATGGGATGTCAGACTCTTGTGGATGTTTTGCTTTGCTCCGCGGCTGAGTAGAAAGCATTTAGATTGGCATTAGAGACAGTCCAGTCCCCCACCAGCTTTTATCTGCGAGTAAGGATGGGTGTTGGGTAAGGATTACTCTCAGTTGTACTGGAAGGAGTTTGGGGATTTGGAGAATCATGGGAGATGTGCACCTTTCCAAGGCACAGCTGTAAGCCAGCTGTTTTCTCTCGGTAGTTTCAAGCAGTAGTACATCCGCGTCGCTTGTTCCGCTGCTTTCTCTGAAGCTGCCAACTTTGTTCCTGCAGGTTTCGGACCACACATGTTCCACGCCATGGGGCCCCCGCCTCCCTTCATGAGAGCCCCGGGCCCCATTCACTACCCGTCCCAAGATCCCCAGAGGATGGGTGCCCACGCGGGAAAGCACAGCAGCCCCTAGCACGTCCTGCCACCCTCATCGTTGAAGTAAATGCTATTTTCTAGTTACCGTGGTAGCGCCATATGTTGAGCTGTGGGTGAGCTAGAGAAGCCTTATTTCCCTGCTTGCAGACACTGGGCAAGCTGAGCTCCGTGTCTCCGCTAGCTGATCGGGTCGTTGATGCATCCCAGATCTTTCATTTAGTGTGGGGGCGGGGGGCAGACAGAAGGGCTGTCGGGGGTCTGTGGATCAGGTGTACCAGAATTACAGTGCTATCCGTGTATCCCCTTTGCACACTTTTGAAATAAACTTCTCGAAAAACAAAACTAAACCCTTTTCAAGCCCGTTTGGTATCCTCAGTCTGAACACTATGGACTGTTGAAATGTAACCAGAGACTCTTCTCTGGCAGGTAACTAATGACGTATTATTCTAATGAGGTATTAAACCAGAACTGAATACGAGCTAAAAAACAAGCTTATCAGGTGTGCCAAACCCATGGCTTTGCCTTACTATGGCCACAGCATTTTCTTCCCTCCTTTTTCGTGACTTCTTGCTTAAAAAAACCAAACCAAAAAACCAAATCCTTTTTTGATGCTTCACTTCTAATGCTACGTGTCCTGAGCAAGACGAGTGTTAGGTCACGCGAGCAGGCTGTGGGGTGGCAATTGGCAGTTGCCTGTTTGAGCCTGGCGAAAGCCCCTCGGTGGCCCCCAGAGGCTGGGCTTGTGTTGCTGACAGCTGCAGGGGGAGGACACGGTTTATTGGGAGCGTGATGCGGGCTCTCCAGGCCTGTGGGTACAGCCTCCTCTTAAGCTGCGAGATGGATCCCGCCTCATCCTGCTTTGATAAGACATGAAACTTTTCTTTCTGTGCTCCAACTAGAGTTTGTCCAGGAGCAACTGTGTCCTGCACAGAGCCTGCCATTGAATAAGATGTATGTACACGTGGCTGGAGGGTTTTAAGTTTATCTGTATGTCAGCTGCTTTCTCGTAATGGATCTGTGGGCATCTTGCTGTGAAGCAAAACATGATGGGACCTGTTCCGAAGCCTCATTTGCTTGTTTTAAAAAAAATACACTAAAATATTTGAATTTTTCAATGCTTTGCTTAGGACCCGGCAGCACAGTGTCTGAGGACTTTGATTTTTATTTGGCTGCTGCCAAAGCCAAGATGCAGAGTGGGCAATGGCAGCGGGTCCACTTTTAGTTCTATGTAGTGTCCCGTACCGCGCCACGGGGTCCCGTGGGTGCTGCCACCGAAGGCGCGTGCGGTGCTGCCGGGCTGCTGGAGGTGGCGCAGCACACGTGGCCCCAGGGGCACGGCTGGCAGGCAGGGTGGCTTTCTCTGGAGAAAGAGCTGGGCTTTGGGTGCGGGTCATTAGTCTAGTTTTTGTCAAGTAAGAGCCGTCCCAGGGCAGTGCTGGAGGACGGGCGGAGGCCTGCCGGTGGGTTGGGGAGGGCTGCGGCGGTTGCCACTGCGCTCTCTGCAGTCGGGGCCCGCGAGCGCTGTGCAGACGGATCGAATGCAAGCAGTTTGTACAGCATCGCAATTGATTTATTATTTCCAGCCAGGTCCTCAGGGGTACACGGGTTCTTCAGCTGATGGACAAAGAAGAGAGAGATGGGTTTGAGCGTGATAAATCTTTAATGTTTAAGGAACAGACCTTTTTTCTTTCCATTTGCGTGTCCCCTCCTGCTTCTGTGGGAAGAACAGAGCGGTTAAAGTTTCCTGCCTGAATGGCATGTTGTGGCAGCAGAATCCCTGTGTGGGATTTGCTCTGCGCAGCGTTACAAATACACTTCACAAGTGCTGCGAACTGCATTTTTACCACTAAATTTACTTGCCTGCTATAACCACAGTGGTGGAAAAAGAAACTTTTATCCTGATACTCCTGCTTTTGCAAGATTAAATAAGGGTAACATTAAGAACCTGACAAAAGCAATTGTAGAAAGTCTGCATTCAGGTAGAGATTTTTGTTAGCAGGGTTTTCCAGATGTTCTGATGACCGTCTATAGACTGTTGTTAGCTGCGTGTCCCACTGTGTGTCACTGCTGAAAACGTTTGTGTAGTTGAATCCCCACTGCCAATTTTCACATTCACGGAGAAGCCCGTGCTTCCTCTGGAGTCGCGGCTGCGCTGCTTTTCCTTCCCACTGATCCCGAAGTTGCCGGAATACCCTGGCAGCATCTTTCAGACTGCTGCGATTCTGCAGCACAGCTGGTCCGGGCAAGGCCCGATCCTTACTGACCAACTACATGGAGCAAATCTGGCGTAAGTCAATCCAAGGGCTTAGATGTTTAAGCAAGGCATGCAAATAGCAGTAGGAAGGGGAAAATAACAGCTGCCAAGTGCTAGCCAGTAGCTTGTGGAAAATGGGCACCGGTTTCCAACTCCCAGTGTTCCCCTCCCATCTCTCCTGGCTGTGCTGTACGTGTGTTGATAAACAGGCAGGTGCCCAGTTCCTCATGTATTTTTGTCGTCCAGCCAAGCCAAAGGTAATTGCTTTTAACATGCCAATGCCTCCGGTTACTTGTTTTGCTGGTGTCCTTCAATTATCACCTCCTCTCGCTGTCCTGACCGGAATGACAGGCGGAGAGTTATCCCGAAGATGGAATTTCTCTGCAAAGGCACCAGCTGTCAGAGCAGGTCTTGTGCGTCGGTGAAGAAGCAGAGAGACAGCTTGGTGCGTTGCAGCTGGTGGTCCTGCCATTTTCCAGGGAAGGGGACAGGCTGTACGGGATTTTTTGTACAGGATCTTGCATTAACGATGAGAACTTGGCTGGTTAGCTCAGCACAAAACGCCGTTGTGACAATGGCTGGTACGAGGGGAATTCAAAATGGTCCCAGACTTGAGCTTGTTCAAATCCCGTTGAAGATGACAACCCGAGACCACTAGCTTAGCGTTCACAAAGAATACTTCCTCTCCTCTCCCCTACTGCGCGATGTATGGTTGAGTCTAGCGATAAAAGCATCTGTGGCGATGGGGAAGGGAGTGCGCGTACTACAGCTCATCGCTCTCTGGTAGAATCCGCACCCAACCTTGTGGCACTCTGTTGAAGTTGGGTCTGTGGGAAATCACCTCCAGAACACTCAGGTTCTCCAGCTCCGTGGCGGGCACGGAGAACAGGTCGCTGACCAGTGCTCTGTCAAACGGGGTGGGAGTCCTGTGGCATGAAAAAAAGCAGACTTGGCACAGCAGGAGAGGTTGCGCACACGGTGAAGGTGACGGACAAAGCAGGTCTGGATTTAGAATCACAGAATCGTTAAGGTTGGAAAAGACCCTTAAGATCATCGAGTCCAACCGTAACCCAGCACTGCCAAGGACACCACTAAACCATGTCTCCAAGCACCACATCTCCCCGGCTTTTAAATACCTCCAGGGATGGGGACTCAACCACTGCCCTGGGCAGCCTGTGCCAGGGCCTGGTTTACTAACTCTGAGCCCAGCAGCAACCTAGCGATGCCTGTAGCAAACGCCAAGCCTCCTCTTCCTCCCCAGGCTGCCGTTAGTCCCTGCTAGCCCGGCGAGGCGCTTCTCTTGTGCAGAGCCAACCCCAACTCAAGCGTTGGCAGGCCTGGAGAGCGGGGTTTGGTGCCTGAGCGCCAGGGGCTGTGCAGGGGCGGGAGGAAGCCTGTTCCTACCTTTACCATCGTCTCTCTTGATGGGCTTCGCAAATACCAGTAGAAAAAAAGCAGACTTTTGCACATGAAAAGGGCTAGACTATGAGAGCAGGCAAGGGTGACAAACCCTCAGGTCTTTAGAAAGCAGCTGATGTGTTCTGCAGAGGGCCGAGGCCGATAGCGCTGCCTCCTGATTGCTCTAGCACATGTGCAGCAATGTCTTTCTCTTGGCCCTGGCTCCAATCTGCCTTCTGGGACCGCTTCTCTTGAGCTATGGCTAACAGGGGGAGCAGTGCGGGGGCAAGAGCTGTCATCCCTTTCTGGAGAAATGTGGAAAGGGACCAGGGAAGAGAGTGCCAGGCCCTGAAAAGCCAAGAATGTTGGTTTTGGAGCAGCACATGGAGGCTGAGCTATCAATGAGGCATAGCTGGGAATGTTTGCTTCGGGAAGCGCTGCTCGAACATGAGTAACGTGGCACTGTTTTGCAACAGCGTGCTGGGGAGAAATAAGGGGGGAAAGGTGAATGGGAGAGGTTTGTTGCAGAAACTTTCTCCCTTTTGGGGAAAGACAGTCCTTTTCAAAGCTTGGTTTTCACTCTCTCTCTTAAGAGACCTTAGCAAGGTGGCTGAAGGTCTTTGCATCACAGCCTGAATGTTTAGGGTTGGGGATAAATCAGTCTGCTTTAACGCAGCTGCTGTTGAGATGGTGAACTTGCCCTTGCCCTGTGACCCGCGTGAGCTGTGCTGGGATTCACCTAGCTTTAGGCAAGACCACTGGCTTCTCGCTAGCTGGTTTGTTCCAAAAAGCTTGTTTTTCTGCAGTTTGGTATTTGATGAACTGAGAAGTCGTTTAAAAGCCAACAGCTCGGAAGATCATGAAAAGCCCAGTTAAAAGCAGATTGGCTCTCTGAATCTTCATGCCTCAGCGAAGCATTAGAGGAGGTGGAAAGAGGCTGGGTGTTAAATTAGCATCCATCTGTATTAAATAACAGTTCAAGACTTTAAATAGAAAGGCAGCATGTGAGAGGGGAGAAATGGTACAGGGTAAAGCATTATTCAGAAACATGCCCTTCCTTCAGTCCCCGTCCGTAAATAAATACTGAGGCAGGAACACGGCTAAATGTTGAAAGAAAAGAGCCAAGCGTCTGCAGCAGCTCCTTGTTCTCCCCCTACGGCACCTCCTCGGATGTGACTGCTCCAGGAAAGCTCCGGATGGCTGAGTGACTGGGAAGGAGATCCCGAGGGAACAGCTAACGCAGCCCCTTTGCTTCTCCACGCTTGCCCATGGCTGCCCATGGGTTGTTCTCCCTTCTGTTAACCTCGTCTCCCTCAGCTCCACTCCAGTGCAAACCAGTGCACTGCCACGCTTTCACTGGTGTGGAAGGGGAAAGACAGGGGGGCTGAGCGTGAAGCAGCCTTGCCCTGTGCGCCTCGCCAGGCCCACAGCAAAGCCCCAGGGCTGAGGGAGAGGAGGGCAGCAAAGGGACGGCGGCAGCCCCATCTCAGCCCGGCCGGCCGGCGGGCTGATCTCTGCCCCTTGGGCCGCAGTTCCCACGCAGAGGGGCTGGAGTTGCCCGCAGCCCCTCTGCCAGGCGCTGGAAGCGCAGCAGTCATCTCCCCCATGACTCAAATCCAACCCGGCGCGGGCTCAGGAAAGCTGCCGTCTGCAGAGGCCCAGCACCACGGCAGATGGGCTGATGGGGAGCGGTGCTGTGTCCTGGTAGGGAGCTCCAGTGGGAGCTTGCCTAATGGAACGTGACTTTGGCCAGGTCACTGAGGCTAATGTACTTTCATCCTCATAAAAGAGGCTTTTGGTGAGGAGGAGAGCCAGGACCTCAGTTTGCAGATTCCCTGGGATGATGTTCAGCTTAAAAGTTCAGTTCTCATTGTTCTACATTGGGCTGCTGGTGCTTTCCTACCACCAGATCTCCTGAATCCCCACCAAACACCTTTCCAGAGTGGAGGTTTTCCTCGGCGGTCTCTGCTCCCAGCCTCAACCCCAGTATAATTTGGAGGTGCACAGGAGGTGCAGGGCATGGAGCTTGCCAGGCTGAGCCACCAGAAATGGGCCTGGAGACTTCAACCTTAAGCAGGTGTTTGGAAGGAATCTGGTGACCTCTTAACACCTTGTGGAAAGATTAACCTTATACCCCCATCGCTTCCAGCAGCTGCTTGGATACCTTAAGGAAATTAGGAGAGAGACTTGGCAGTGTCTGTGCCATTCCTCCACCCAGCCCAGAGCTGAGCCTGGCTGGGAACAGCAGCGATTCCTTCTTCAGGACCATGCGCATGAGAATTAGTTCTCCCAAATTTCAGCCGTCATCCCTGAGGTTACCCCGTGAGACCAAGCTGCGCAAGCCCGGTGGTGGAGCTGAGAGGAGATCTGGGGAGCTGCTGGAGGCAGGGACCTTTGCAGAGGAGCCACCGAGGAGCTCCTGAGCAGGAAAAGAGCAACCTGAGCCCTTGCTGCTCCCCCGCGGTGTATAAAGAGGGCATGGACCATTGCGTTTCCCTGGCAGCATGGTAGGTGCTTCTTGAGGCCGAAGGGCTTGGCCAAGGGATGGACAGGCTGGTGGTGCCTGCACCTCGGCCAGCATTACCTGTTGAAGCTTCTGAAGTCCCACGGAGGGGGTCTCACGGGCGGCTGGTTCTCACCATGCACAGTGTTGTCCTTGTCACCAAGGAGCTCCTGCCATGGGGAGCGGTAGCCCTTGGGGATGGCGGTGACGTTGAACTTCTCCGGGGGGACTTCTTTGAGGGGGCCTGAGTATCCTGTGGGGGAGAAGAGATGGCGTGGGAGAGAGGGGGCTGGGAACTGCCCTGCCTTCGCACGGCCGCAGAGGACCTGCTGTTGGGGGCTGGATTCCATATATATAACATAAATATATGTTATATATTTATACATATAAAAGCTCTGGGGGAGGGTTTTGGGGACGACCCCTCAGCAGGCAGCAGCTCGCTGCCTCCAGCCCCACATTACTGAGATTACAACGGCGTTGGCTTTGGGGTGTAGGCGGCATTTACCCGGGGCCAGAGCATCAGGGTTGAGGATTTTGCTCATCTGCAAGACTTTCTCTGTCTTCTTGGGCACTTCGGGGGGGCCACCCTGGGGCAACGCTGCCACGTGGAGCTCCGAGTGATAACTCTGCTGGTCCCCGGTGTCCTCCCCTGCCTGCAGAGGGGATGGTCAGTGGGGCGTGAGGAGCTCCCCCTGCCCTGGTTGGGACTCAGGAGGCTGTCAAAAGCACCTTGGAGCTTCCTCCACCTACTCACCATCCCCTCGTTTGCCGTTCCGTCCAGGTTGCCTTTCTCAGTGCGATGCGAGTCACCCGCCCCCAGCCCTGGGAGCTGCAGGAGGCGAGGAGAGGAGTTAGTGGGTGCAGAGGGGAACCAGCACCCTTGCTCTTTGGTGGATGCTGAAGCTGATGCTTGCCCATCAACATGCACAGCCCACCAAGCCATCTCTGCTCTCCCTTCGTCTCGGCGTAGTGGGCAGCTGAGCATGGCCGCCCTGCTGAGAGACCCCCAGCCCCACAAGGAATCACCCCCCTGCAAAGGCTGCGAGAGCTGGAGAAGGGATGTCCCGCTCGGAGCTGGGGGATAAGCCACCGACCCACCTCCCTGTAGCCGCTGGGATGCTCAAAGACGAAGCGCTGCATCCGCTTCTGGCGCTGCTGGAAGAGCTGGGAGCCGCGGTTGTTCCGCAGGGAGAGCTCCTCGATCATCAGGTCCTGCGGTGTGCTCATCTTCTTGCCCAGGTCCAGCTGGGGCACTGAGGAGGCCAGGGGAGAGCACAGCCACAGCTGAGGCTGCTGCAGCGCTGGGGACCCCCGTGCCCAGCGCAAGGACAGCATGTCCCCTCGCCAGGGTCCCTGACGCGCTCGGCCACACGCCCGTGCCGGGAGCTGCACCAGGGACTGGCGTTTCCTTGGTGGGCGGAATTGTCAGGGAATTAGCTCAGCTCCAGAGGCTCAAACAGCCTCTTCTGCCCCTGTGCACGGACCCCTTCAGCCTTCGACACACAAGTGCTGCCCCTTGGGGCTGTAGTGCAAGAGGGGATGAAGAAAGCAGGCAGGGAGGCCCTGGAGAGCAGGGCCAGTGGCTTCAGCCAGAGCTGGGTCTGGCCCCCAGGCAGCGGGACCAGCACTGCCCTGGGACCGGTGGCACCCCCAGCCCCCCTTACCATCTTCAGGGCCCGGTTTCATGATGGTCATCACTTGCTGCCGCGCTCCTGGGGCAGCTCTGCGGGAGGGGGATGGATCCTGCCCGGCTGGAAGAGAGAGGCAGCCCTGGGGTGACACCAAGCATGGGGACACATCAGCCCCAGGCGTGCCACGGGGAGAGGCCAGGCTCGTCTGAGCATCTCCCCCAGACAGCATCATCCCTGAACACCTCCCCGGCCAGCATCATCCCCACGCTACCCTCCATTCCCTTCATTAGACGTAAGGAAATGTCCAAAGCATGCCACCCCTCAGCCCCTGCTTGTTGTCTTTCCTCTCTGCCTTTCTTTAGGGCAGGAAATGTCCCCAGTTCTGTCCTTGCCCACAGCGAGCCGGTGTCCTCATGTCCCGAGCCCCCTCGGAGCAGCACCCGCTGCCTGCAGCCTGCCGGGTGAGCAGGAGCCCTGGCTGCCCCCCCCCCAACACTTCTGCCTCAGCAGAGCTATTTTCAGCCTCTGGCCCCAAGGGTGCAAGCCTGGCCAGCAGCAAGATGGGGCGCAGGGCCCCTGGGCTGTGTTGCTTCTTTGCAGGAGGCAGCTGGAGACCAGCCCTGGTCTGAGCCCCCCGGGCTGCCCACCCGCAGCAGCACCCTCCCGCGCGGCCGGGGCGTTGGGCTCAGCAAGTGCGAGGAGCGGGACGGTGGCTCTGCCCTCTTTGGTGCATCTGGTGTCCCTCGGCTCGGGCTGATGCTGTGCAGCTTCCCTGAAGAGCCCTGGAGAGCAGGGGGTCCCCACAGGGCCACAGTGGTGGCTGCCTGGCACGCAGCTCCCTGCCAGCTCCGAGTTCAACATTAACCATCCGCACGACAAGCGTGGGACCTGCGCCCCGTCCTTCCCTCGACCCCCCTCTGGGGAGCCCATACCCTGACCCCCACGAGGGCGATGTCCCCACCACCAAGGCTGGGACGTCCCCAAGCCCCACGCACCAACCCGCTGACCCCAGCATGGGACCTCACCTCCCCTACCTGGCCAGGGGACACCCCAGACACCTGGGACCGAAGATGTTCTCCTGCTGGGCTGGGGACGAGGCCAAAGCCAGGCTGCGGCCACCAGCACTCGGTGGTCCCAGCTGGCCCTCCGTGGCACCCCCGGGCTCCCTGCCGCTCGCCCTGACCCGTGCTGGGCTCCAGCCCAGATGCCAAAGTCCGGCTGCGGGGCAGCAGCTATTTCTGGCTGAGAAAGGGGGCGGAGCAGGGCTGACCCTTGGGGACTGGGACGCTGTCACCCCGGCACAGAGCAGGGCTGACCCTTGGGGACCGGGACGCTGTCACCCTGGCACAGAGCAGGGCTGACCCTTGGGGACCAGGATGCTGTCACCCCGGCACAGAGCAGGGCTGACCCTCGGGGACCAGGATGCTGTCACCCCGGCACAGAGCAGGGGTCACCCTTGGGGATGGGGATGCTGTCACGGAGCGGAGCTGACCCTTGGGGACCAGGATGGTGGCTTTGCAGCAGCAGCAGGAAGTGGCCATGTGCCACGTGTGCCCAGGCCACCTTGGGGATGGATCGGAGCCAGGCAGGCCAGGCTGGGTGGGATAACAGCAGTTTATTTCTGAGCTGGGTATACAGCTGTTCAGCGAAGGCGGGTCGTGGTGGCTGGTGGGGCGAGAGGAAGGGCAGGCTGCAGGGCAGGGGGACCCCGGGGGACAGGGATGGGCTGGCTCCAACAGCGTGTCCGGGGAAAGGGAAGGGGTGACAGGGGCTCCCTGCACGGGGAACGTGCCAGAACCCCAACAGCCCAAACGCATTCTCCTTCCTCGGTGCTGGTCTTACCGGCACCAAGGCTGTGTCCCCTGGGCGGTGGCTGCAGTCACTGCTGTAGCATCTCCTGGCAGCCCAGCCAGCTCCTGCTCACCCCTGGGTGGGGACAAGTGCTTTGGGGACCCATCACCCTCCCAGGCACCCACAGCTCTGCCACGTAACTCTGTCCACCCTGACGCCCTCCTCTCCCCATCGCCCCCCCTGAGCCTCCCTCCGACACCGCTGCCCTTGGGGACCTCTGCCCCCTCCCCAGCCCCTTGCAGGGCTCCCCAGGGGGACACTGGCTCGTCCCCAAGACACGCTCAGCGTCACCTCCTGCACTGACACCTCCCTCAAACCCTCTGCAACCTGTACCACTTCCTTCGGCCCCCCACAGCCCCCCACCTCCTCCCCCCAGCCCTGGCTGCCACAGCACCCACTGGTCCCCCTGTGTCCCTCCATCCCGCAGGGGTGGGAACAGGGATGGGGTGAGCCCGGGATGGGGACAGTGACAGGGTACGAGATGGGGCTGTCCCTCTTTGCCTAGGCAGGGTGGGAGGGCACCTGTAAATGGTCCCCTTGATGTGGCAATAAATAACTTTGGCTCTCTTTTTGGTCGCTGGGGAAGGATTTGGGGGAATTTCTTTGAGAACAGGTCAAAAGTAAAAAAAGAAGGCAATGAAGAACTGGGGGGCTGGGGGCTGCAATAAAAAAAAATAACTTTTCCTCCTCAAAATCTGGTTTCAATTGAAACCAGCCAGATCTGGAGGCTGGGAGAGAGTGGGAGGGTGCCCTGGCCGCGGCACCCACTTGGCACTGCCCACCCATGCCGGATACACCGTGACCCCGCAGGCAGCAGCACCAGCCGTGCCACCCAGGAAAGCAGAGCTGCCGGGTGCCAGGGTCTGTGACAGCCCGGTGCTGGGGACAGGGGACTCGCAGGGGACCACGGAGCCTGTCCCCGTCCCTGCTCCGTGGTGCAGGGCTGCGGAGGGAGGGGGCCATGCCAGGGGCTGGCTCCCCCCTGCTGCCTGCTCTGCCTGCTGACCACGCACCCCGAAAGGTTAGTGTGGTAAAAATAGAGCTGGGCCATGGGATGGCAGGCAAAGGGAGGCACCTGACCCCGCCGGCACGCCGAGGCACCACGGCAGCTCCACCGGGGAGCGAGGACACTGTTTTTTGGGGACCTCAGCCCCGAGGGTTGGGGTGTTCCCTGGGGGGAGTCAGTGGGTGGCATCACCCGGGCTGGCAGGACCTGGGAGAGGGTGGCCTGGCCGGGACCAGCTCATCTAGGAGGTGCACGGGGCCCCCGAGGGGAGCCCCCCTGGCTTCAGCCGCAGGCTGCTGGTCCAGCCCCGGGGACAGAGGTTGAAGCTGTGGATGCCAGGGCTCTTGGCCCCCGAGTCTTCGGAGTCGAGGGAGACGTCCGAGTCTGTCGGGGACCGGGAGGTGCAGCGCTTGGCCGAGGATCGCCCACCCACCACAGGGGATGGCAGGGGGCTCTTGGGACTGGGGGACAGCCTGGGGACGGGGCAGGACACACCGGGTGGCAGCAGGAGCCGGCGACCCTCTGCCCAGGCAGCTCGGGGCATACCAGGGGAGGCACAAAATTGGGGGCCATCCGCCCGGGGCGATCGCAGGGGGCTTTTGTGGGTGGGCGAGGGGCTCCCCAGGCTCCTCGGCATGCTGCTGGCAGCCTGCAGTGCCGGGGCTCTGGAGCTGTCCAGTCGCACCAGCTGGGGGGACTGGGGCAGGCTGGGGGGGCCGGCGGGGATGGGGGTGAAGGGCCGGGAGCCCTCCGGCCCCACAGCTTTGGGAGAGGAGCTCTTCCTCCGGGCAGCGTTGATGGTGTTCCTGGCG